TTGGGCCCCCAGGAAAAACGAGGGTCGTTATAGTTTAAATTTTTCCAAGAAGTTTTCGCAAAAAACCCCGGAAGTGGTTTTGTCCATTGAATGGGGAAGTTGGATGCCCTTGGGGCCCCGGGTTTCGACCCCTTTCTTGGGGCCCTTTATCCGGGTTTTCCCTTTCCCAAAAAAACCCGCCGTGGTTCAGGAGGGGGGGGGGACCCCCCGGAAAGGAAAACTTAGGAAGGGCCTGGAAAAAAAGGCCCCGTTCGGGGGGTAAAAAAATTTTGAGAAGAAGGTTTCTTTGTTTGTTGGGGCAAGGGGGAAAAATTCCCGGGAAAGGGAAGTTTGGTTTTTCAGGTGCCACTTTTGTATGGGAGGTCCCCAAAAAATGCGGGGGGGGCGAGCGTCTGGTTTTGTGGGTTTTTTTAGTAAACCGGGGTCGGTAGTTTAAAATTTTTAGTGAATCGCGAGAAGGAAAAGAGCCCATCTTGCCTGGGCGAGGTCTCAGATTCGTTTCGCTGATTCTTAAATATTCCAGGGTTTCTTGTGATCAGTTGAAGACCTAGGATTGGATGTGTGGCTCCTATCCCAGTAAGTACCCTGCCTCTCCATTCTTTCTATGAGCGGATAATTGATGCCAGAGCTACCCGGATCTCCACATGTACATAGGATTACGTTGTCAGCCCCGGAACGTCAACTTCCTGGAGAAGAACGCCAAACGGGTGCGAAGTAGTTCCTTGGTTTCCCATTTCTTTTGGACCAGAAACCAACCGCTCCTACCCCCCCCGCCCGCGTTCTCAGAGGCATCCACTATCCAAGACATATGGGGAGGGAAGTAACCGGATGGCAGAGGATGGGCGCAGACGGTGAATAATTTTTTGAGCTTCTTCGAATGCCGGTCTGGGCTTCTCTGGAAGTCCCCAACTTAAAACGGACACCCCTTGTTACGTCAGTTGCGTGATCGGGGAGACCAGAACCGTTAAGAAGTTCCTAACAAACTTTCCTATAAAAAAAAATTGGAAAAAGCCCGATAAATGAAACGCTGTAACCCCCGGCCCTTTTTGTCGGCGGGTATTTGGCCCCAATCTAAAGATTCGCCGTGACTTTTCTGGGGATCCAGTCGCGACCAGACCGATCGCGAAGAGATGAAGAACCAGATCCCAAGAACGTGATTTCGACGCGCTGTTCCGAAAAACAGCACTTTTTCCTGCCTTGGCGTATAGCCCCGTGTTTGAGACCGCAAACGCCGTTCTAATAAACCCGATACTACTACGTTACCCTGTCGATGGAACCTCCATGAAGGGGAGTAAAAATTAGGATGTCCCATCCAAATAAACATTACTACAAAGACATCGAGGAAATCACGAAAAACATCGCGTTGATGAAATGCTGGAAGGTTGCCCCCGGTGCATTACAGAGCCCCGAAAGGCATCACTAGATATTCGTAGTGACCGAATCTCGTACGGAAGGCCGTCTTCCACTCATCCCCCCTCCCTGATACGGACAAGGTTATAGGCCCCCCGCAGGTCTAGTTTAGTGAATATCTCATTGACCGATTTCAAATCTCTGGAGGAGCTCGGGGACTAACGGTAAGGGATAAGCGGTTCTTTAAAACCGTTTATCTTGTTTAGATCACGGTTAGAGTCCTATGCAGGGCCGTAACGATTTTGTCCCCTTCTTCTCTAACACGAAGAACAGCCCCCGGCCCCGGCTGGGGGATGTGGAAGGTCGACGAATTAAACCCCTTCCCGCAGGTTCTCGTCCCAATATATTCCCCATCAGTACAACCCGATTCCGTTTCTGACAAGGGAAAGATCCGGCCCGAACGAGAGTTCTCAGATCCGGGTAGGAGGGTCTATAGGAACAATCGTAAGAACGGTGGAGGGGTGGAGGAAGAAGCGTCAGCCCCCCGCTTACTGAAAAATCGTCCAAGGAAGTCCATGGTAGGCCGGGGGAATAGTCAAGGGGAATAGAGGATTTGGCAATCACCGTCCCAAGCACAGAGGAAACCCGGGGACCCACGGATTTCCCGTGACCTGGCAGTGATTCAAACAGTAGGGTGACCTAAATTGAAAAATCGTTCCCCCTTTCCCAGTCAATCTGGGGGTTATGGGCCCGCAGCCAAGGTAGGCCCCAGAATGACTGGAAAATAGGGGTGATTGCGATGGCCATCCCAAACGGAGATGGAAAAACCTCCTGGTGATGGTCCCCAGGCTATTGTGGTTAAAAAAAATGGTGGGTGTCTCGTCCTGGTCCACCACCCCTGATTTTAATACTGGTAGCCGTCTGCCAAGAAGAGATGTTGAACCCCCCTTCTCTTTGGTCTGCAGTGGTATTTTTTGGCCCTGGTGGGCAAAAGTCAGGTCGACAAAGCAACTACAAGCTCCAGAGTCAACGATTGCGGTCACCGATAGTGTTCTTCCCCGGGAGCTGCAAAGGACCCACAGGTATGGCCAGGTAATTGGGGGACTGATCATCCCTTCCTGCGGGTCAAAGTAAAAGAAAAGGAAGCGGACTTACTCATCTTTGCAGGAACAGGAGCGCAACACCTGGGTTGACCAGCTTCCCCGCAGTACAGGCAATAGGTTCAGAGATCGTTTCTCCTTTTTTTGGACGTTCCTCGACCGACAAAGTGGGAACGGGCCAGTCCCCCAGCTGCATGGGTTTTCCGGGTTTTCCCCCCCATTCCGTGCCTCGGGGATGGTTTTCCCTGGGGATTTTTGGAGCTGTGTCTCCTCGGTGGGGATCCATGCCACCCTTTGACCCTGGTTGCTCCTTTCCAGCCGACGTTCCCTTAAAACCTACGGGGTCAATCTGGATGGCCAACTCAATCAGTCTTTCCCGGGAGTCCCTGGTAGGCCAAACTCGTTGCTAGTTCGTCCTTGAGAGACTCAGACAGCCCGATGCGGAACTGGTGACATAAAGGCCGCATCGTTCCCATCTGGGGTGTCTCCCATGCATCGCCTAAAGTCGGAACGCGTATTCTTCGGCTGCCCGGCGGCCTTGCCGCAGCGCGAGTATAGTGTAGGCCTCTGCGGAGGCAGCCCTGCTGAGGGTCGTCATACAATACTGGCCATGGCCTGAAAGAACTTGGTCACAGGAGTCAAGCGGGGGTCACGCCCTCCGCTCCATTCAGACGGTGGGAGCCCAATCCTGGGGCTCATCCTGAAGGAAGAGAGACTATAAACCCCACCCTGAACGGTCCCCCCCCCCTCGGAGGAGAATGTGCGGGGCTGCAAGTCCAAAATATAGTGTGCAAGCATTCCGGAAGGCTTGGGAAGCGGCTCCGGTCCCCACCACGGAATAACCGTTTCCGGCAGGGGGAAACGCGGGGGCTCAGGAGCTAAGGGTGTGGGCAACCGCTCCGGAATTGTCGGGGTAGCGGGAGGTTCCCAGACGCGGGACTCTGAGCAGGGGGAGTCTGGGGGGCTAATGTCTCCATGCGGTCTCGCCGGTCCACCTCCTGGCTCTGTCATGGCCGCAAGGTACTGTTATGATCCGCCAGGCGGAGCCTTCCGGCTGCCAACTGATAGACCAACCCAGAGCGTGGGGTCTAAGCCCGGGCTGTGCCTTCACCAGGGCCCCTGATGGTGGGGATGGACTTGAAACAGTCCCCGGGCCAGGTCACGACCTCCGGGCGGGCCCACCAGCGGCTGGGAAGGCCTCAGGGGATGCGTGTAGGTACCGGGAGAGCCAGATATGAGGCGGATGACGGCCCCAGCAGGGTGGCACGGATAGTGGTTTCCGTGGGGGGTAAGCGGGGTACCAAATCAGCGGGCAAGGAGTAGTCAGGTCACATGCAGGGTCAGCCAGGTAAATCAGTCCGTAGAATAGTCAGGATATCCGAGTCAAAACGCAGGAGCAGGCAGAGTAGTCAGGACAAGCCAGGTCAAACACAGGGGCAGGCAGCGTAGTCAGGGTTGAAAACAGGGTCACAGAACAGGAGCAGGTATCCAGGATCACATAAGACCTTGCGGCAATGGGTGACAGTGCAGGGCATCTTTAAATAGTGCGCCCTGCACTGTCATTGGCTGGCTGGGACGCGCCCCCGGCTGTCATTGGACGCCTGAGGCGCGCCCTCGACTCTCTACTGCGCATGCGCGGCGTCCTGTCAGCCGCGGCTCGCCGCCAGTGCGCATGCGCGGGGGGACGGCGCCGTGATGCAGGATTCCGGCGCCGTGATCCCTGACAATATCTACTGTGAAGCATGGGGGTGGCAACATCATGCTTTGGGGCTGTTTTTCTCTTCTCCGCAAAGGGACCAGGACGACTGATCCATGTACAGGACAGAATGAATGGGGCCATGTATCGTGAGATTTTTGAGTGCAAACCTCCTTCCATCAGCAAGGGCATTGAAGATGAAACGACGTGGCTGGGTCTTCCAACATGACAATGATCCCAAACATACCGCCCGGGCAACGAAGGAGTGGCTTCGTAAGAAGCATTTCAAGGTCCTGGAGTGGCCTAGCCAGTCTCCAGATCTCAACCCCATAGAAAACCTTTGGAGGGAGTTGAAAGTCCGTGTTTCCCAGCGACAGCCCCAAAACATCACTGCTCTAGAGGAGATCTGCATGGAGGAATGGGCCAACATACCAGCAACAGTGTGTGCCAACCTTGTGAAGACTTACAGGAAACGTTTGACCTCTGTCATTGCCAACAAAGGATATATAACAAAGTATTGAGATGAACTTTTGATATTGACCAAAATACTTATTTTCCACCACAATTTGCAAATAAATTCTTTCCAAATCAGCCAATGTGATTGTCTGGATTTTTTTTCTCATTTTGTTTCTCATAGTTGAGGTCTACCTATGATGCCAATTACAGGCCTCTCTCATCTTTTTAAGTGGGAGAACTTGCACAATTGGTGGCTGACTAAATACTTTTTTGCCCCACTGTATATATATACACACACACTATAGTGCCAAAAGTATTGTGACACCCCTCCAAATCATTGGATTCAGGTGTTCTAATCATCTCCATGGCCACAGGTGTACAAAATCAAGCACCTAGGCATGCAGACTGCTTCTACAAACATTTGTGAAAGAATGGGTCGCTCTCAGGAGCTCAGTGAATTCAAGCGTGATACCGTGATAGGTTGCCACCTGTGCAATAAGTCCATCCGTGAAATTTCCTTGCTACTAAATATTCCACGGTCAACTGTTAGTGGTATTATAACAAAGTGGAAGCAACTGGGAATAAGAGCAACTCAGTCAGAAAGTGGTAGGCCACGTAAAATGACAGAGTAGGTTCAGCGCATGCTGAAGTGCAGTGCGCAGGCGTTGCCTGCACAGTCAGTAGCTAAAGTTTTCCAAACTTCATGTGGCCTTCAGATTAGCACAACAACAATGCGTAGAGCGCTTCATGGAATGGGTTTCCATGGCTGAGCAGCTACATCCAAGTCTTACATCACCAAGTGCAATGCAAAACGTCGGATGCAGTGGTGTAAAGCACGCCGCCACTGGACTCTAGAACAGTGGAGACGTGTCCTCTGGAGTGAAGAATCACGTTTCTCTGTCTGGCAATCCGGTGGACATGTCTGGGTTTGACGGTTGCCAGGAGAACAGTACTTGCCTGACTGCATTGTGCCAAGTGTAAAGTTTGGCGGAGGGGGGATTATGGTGTGGGGTTGTTTTTCAGGGGTTGGACTTGGCCCCTTAGTTCCAGTGAAGGGAACTCTTAAGATGTCAGCATACCAAGACATTTTGGACAATTTCATGCTCCCAACTTTGTGGGAACAGTTTGGGGATGGCCCCTTCCTTTTCCAACATGACTGTGCACCAGTGCACAAAGCAAGGTCCATGAAGACATGGATGAGCGAGTTTAGGGTGGAGGAACTTGAATGACCTGCACACAGTCCTGAGCTCAACCCGATAGAACACTTTTGGGATGAATTAGAGTGGAGACTGCGAACCAGGCCTTCTTCTCAGACATCAGTGCCTGACCTCACAAATGCGCTTCTGGAAGAATGGTCAAACATTCCCATAGACACACTCCTAACCCTTGTGGACAGCCTTCCCAGAAGAGTTGAAGCTGTTATAGCTGCAAAGGGTGGGCCAACTCAATATTGAACCCTACAGACTAAGACTGGGATAACATTAAAGTTCATGCACGTGTAAAGGCAGGCGTCCCAATACTTTTGACATAATAGTGTGTGTGTATATATATATATATAACATTTAATTTGCTAAGCCTTGACCATCACTGTTAGTCGCGTGTGGCACGGTTGGTAGCAAACAACTATGACCTATGACTCCAGAAAAACATTCTCACAGAGGTGCTTGCAGGTGTAGTCAGATGAAGGAAAACTTACAACAAGCTCATTAGCTCTGGTATGGTAGCTCCCACACAGTAAGGGTTCCCTTGATGGGCAGTAGCTCAAACCATAGAAATGCAGAAAGGAGTGCCAGATCAAAACCAGATGAGAGAGTCCAAGTCACACATCAGGAGACAGAGTTTGAACTACTGGAGCATTCCCAAAAGGAAGAAAAAACAGTTCATATATGATCAGCTACCTCTCTGCCTCCTCTCTCTTCACTGTCCAGTCTATGTTGTGCTGTTTTTCTGCATTCTTTCCCACTGAAACTTGATTGACTGCTAATCTGCTCTTTCTTCTACCCCTCAGCAACAATCAAATTTTTATTCTGCCTCTTTTGTCTGCTCTGCCTCCCAGCCATCTTCCCCTCTGCCCCCTTAACAATGCACAGATCTGGTCAACCTATTCTCCCAATGGGTCATGATCAGATCAAAATCAGCCACCTAAATTTCCTGTCCAAGATCAGAATCTGAGGCTTTCTTCCTTCCCATAATCTATAAACCTCTCTTTTCTACATTTTTACCCCTCCCCCGTCTTTAATCAGGTCATTGTCTATTTTCCCTCATCCATTATAATCTACTTTATGCCACTCTCGCAGGTACTTGATAAATGAATGCTCTGCCTCCTCTTCTCCCATTCCTGGCCACCCCTTACTCTAACTTGAATTCATCTACCATCCTTCCATGATTACCTGCACCACCTCCTAACCTCCCGTTCTACTTTCAGTTCACAGTGTTCCTTCTTCATGTTCAGTTCTAATGAAGCAGTACACTTGATTAAACAATACATACCCAGCTAAAATATTGTCTGACTGACTGACAAGTAATGCAATTAACCAGTATGTCGTAAACCATTCAGAGCTGAAAAATTATTCAGCGTAAATTAATCAGTTCTTAAACAAGCATACATTTGATTTTGCTATCAAAATCATCAGATTCTTCATCAGAATAAAACTTGGGGAAAGACCTGATATGGGACTGAATAGCTTTATTTGTGATCCAAACAGACAGCCCTCTCAGACATTTCAAGCAACCTTTTGCCACAGATTTCTTGCTAACAAAAAATTAAACTAATTAACAATACTAATGATAAGGCTAATAGTAAAAAACATAAATGCCTACCCATGGCATTTGTTTTTCCCTAGATATGTCCCCCCTGGCTTGATAACTGTAATCCATTTTATAAATGAAAATACATACCTACAGCATAAACCAAAGAACTAGGAATAGGTATCCAAGGATCGGGAAAGCCAAGTTTTTCAAACTGGAAAAAAAAAAAAAAAAATCAGTGCTCTGCAGTGTGTATGCATTCAAGCTAGTGTCCAGATAATGCACAGTATCAAGCCAAATGCAAGGGAGTTTTGGTGTGTTTTTTGTGTTTGATTCTACAGTTGTGTGTTTAGTAACACTTCAATGAAGAAATGCAGTCTATATATGCAGTAAAGCATGCTTTAACCAGTGCTCTGCTGGAAAATGAAAGATGGGATTTCTGACAGGTCACTGGAGAACAGGTGGCAGTATGTGGTGAGCAGCAAGATGGCCACTCAGTGGTTTCCAAGACAAGCGTGACGTCACGCTGCCTCCGTTCTTAAGTGTGAATTGTATGTAAGTTTGATGTTTGTAAATCAGGGACTGCCTGTATATTAAGGGTCTCAATCAGGGGCGGACTGACCATTTGGAAACTCGAGCACTGCCCGAGGGCCCGGGGTCAGTACGGGGCCCCATGAGATGCCCCTGGTACCTTTTTTATAGGCTTTTTTGAGTTTGGGCAAGGACACAGGAGCCCCATGATCCCCTATTGCCCGGGGGCCCCATGAGTTGTCAGTCCGCCCCTGGTCTCAATGGTTTATCTCTTCTATATTATTGACTGCATTAAAATGTCAATAATAAACATCCTCGCATACATTTATTTGCATTTATTTAGATGCATGTATGCATTTACTATATGTATTACTATAATATATGTTTATACTTGTTTCCTTTAACTGAAATTGTTATTTTGCCATTTATTTTTTTTTATTTCTTAATTATTTTTAATATTTTCAGTATATATCATACAGTACAATTTTTGACAATACATAATAGTATGTTCTTTGGTGTGATATACAGGCAGTGAACAAACATTTTGTCATACACAGTGCATACTCTAACTACTTATTTAGTTTAGTGCATGAACATCATGAAATAGTTGACTGAACTGAAGAAAGTTCCATCTGTGTTTACTTAAACTTAACCACTTCAGTTCCGGAAGGTTTTACCCCCTTCATGACCAGGCCAATTTTTGTTATTCGGCACTGCGCTAATTTAACTGGTAATTGCACTGTCATGCAATGCTGTACCCAAATGAAATTTATATAATTTTTTCACACAAATAGATATTTCTTTAGGTGGTGTTTGATCACCACTGGGTTTTTTATTTTGTATTATATAAAAACGAAAAAGACCAAAAATGTTGAAACATTTTTTTTCACTTTCTGCTATATAACATCCAATAAAAAATAAAAAAATAGAATATTCTTCATAAATTTAGGTCAGACATGTATTCTGCTACATGTCTTTGGTCAAAAAAAAATTCCCAGTAAGTGTATATTGATTGGTTTGCGTGAAAGTTACAGCATCTACAAACTATGATATATATACTGGATTTATTTATACTACTAATGGCAGTGATCAGTGACTTATAACAGGACTGCGGGCAATCTGACACTAACTGCCGGTGGGGGGAACTGACTAACTGCCACTGACATTACCAGTGACAGTAATACAGGCATCAATGCTTATTCTATACACTGTCACTGTACTAATGATGCTGGCTGGGAAGAGCCTAACATTTATGGTGATCAAGGGGTTAAATGTGTGCTTAACAATGTGTAATGTGTCTATTATGTGCTACTTTTAACTAATAGGTCACACAGCACACAGAGGTTGTTCCCTCTGTCAGAGCCCTGTGTTGATTGTCAAAAGGTCTCAGCTGAGAATCATTGGTCAGGACTTGCTGAGAGGCTCCCACTGTGTACATGCACCCGAAATCTGGGAACAGGCAGCAAGGTACGGGAACGTCGCTGTGTCTGTGCGAGCCGCCTGTCCGCAGTACATTGTGGGCAGGTGGTCCGCAAGTGGTTTAAGTTCACCAAATCTGTATCCTCATGTATGTCTGTAGTATGGTCACGGTTTTATGTCAGTAGTATGTTGTTTTATGTGAGAGGAGTAAGACCTCTTTAATATGTGTACTTGTTTAATAAATTCTTGTTTGTTAGAAGTTATGATGGATCATGGATTACATGTGAGTTCCTTGCATAAATTATCTAAAGGATGGATTGTAAAGTGCTAGGAGATATATGGTAAGGGTTAGGATTAGAAAGTTGCCTCCTGAAAGCTGGAATAGGGAAAAGGGGGAATAGAAAAAAGGAAAAAGGAGGGTAGAAGACACACCCTGACAAAGGTGGAAGGCAGAGGGGGATTGGATAGTTGAAGAATATGGATATGCTAAGTACTCCACTGTATTTGGTGTGAACGCCAATGGATAGGGATGCATTTTCTAGTATGCATTTTCAGGGACTTCTTGTAATGTTTCTCTGCTAGAGAAACATGGTGTAGGAGACATTGAGCTGGTGTGAAATCTGGTGTATTGCTTGACACTGAGGTGATGGTCTGATGTACAGTACTTTTGACAACAATTTTTTTAGCTGCAGGTAATGCCACCATATGTGGATTAAAGAGCCTTCTGCTTTTCTGCATGTCCACAGTTTGTGTTCCTTACCCACTATTGCAGGGGCAGACTGACCATTTGGAAACTCGGGCACTGCCCGAGGGCCCGGAGTCAGTAGGGGGCCCCATGAGATGCCCCTGGTACCTTTTTTCATAGACTTTTTTGAGTTTGGACAAGGACACGGGGCCCCATAATCCCCTATTGCCCGGGGGCCCCTTGAATTGTCAGTCCGCCCCTGCACTTTTATAAACCCTTTGTCTGTATTCAGGCCTCTTAGGAACAGCACTAAACGTACTGGAAAAATGTCCATTCACTTTTACTCATGCAATGGGTTGGGAATAAAGGGATAATATACAATCTATC